GACTAGATAGTCTTTAGATAACCATGCCACAGAATCATTTTTCTAGGCTCCAGCTTAAATTCAGTTAGGATCTCTTTCCCCATAAAGCTCTCTCAAAAGATAATCCAGAACTTTATTCCTCTGGTGGTTAGGAAGCATCCTTTAGACAGCCTGTTTTTAGTTAGAGTCAATATGCACCCATGTTTTCCTTACTTTGCACTGAAGTGTAACCCATATATGTTTGTAGGGAGTGATTACATTCCCCTTTAGCCTTTTCAAAAGCAAAGCACGTGTGCAGTCACTAGGTAGGCTCTCTGGTCACCTAAGTGATACCAGGCACAAGAAGATACTTATCCCTGAAGAGACCTGCTGTTTCTCAATTAACACATGTTGATAAAATTCACCATAATGAGGATGGGTTTACACTTCTGTTTATCCAGGGTATCCATGACAGAAATATTTTTCTTTTTCATTCCTATTTGTTTAAAATATCCTTTGAGTTTATTAATCCTCTGCAGTAGATGACATGCAGTGCCAGAGGAGGGAAAAAGAGATGTTGTCGATGTTGAATTCAGCACCTGCACCAGTTGTTACAGATGGGTTAGAGGCCTGGCGTGCTGTGCTGTGGCAGAGGCACAAGCGGAACTGCAGGCGCTGTGGGGCTGCAGCCGCTGCGGTGCTGCAGGTGCTGCGGGGCTGCAGCCGCTGCGGGGCTGCAGCCGCTGCGGGGCTGCAGGCGCTGCGGGGCTGCAGCCGCTGCGGGGCTGCAGGTGCTGCGGGGCTGCAGGCGCTGCGGGGCTGCAGNGGGCTGCAGGCGCTGCGGGGCTGCAGGCGCTGCAGGGCTGCAGGCGCTGTGGTGCTGCAGGTGCTGCGGGGCTGCAGGCGCTGCGGGGCTGCAGCCGCTGCGGTGCTGCAGGTGCTGCGGGGCTGCAGCCGCTGCGGGGCTGCAGCCGCTGTGGTGCTGCAGCCGCTGCGGTGCTGCAGGCGCTGCGGTGGTGTAGGTGCTGCAGGGCTGCAAGCGCTGTGGGGCTGCAGCTGCTGCGGGGCTGCAGGCGCTGCGGGGCTGCAGGCGCTG